AGAACAAAGTAACAAAAACTGAAATGGCATTCATTTTTTTAAATATGTCGTGGAGTAATAGATTTATTTATTTTTCTTCTTAAGAGAGTACCAGAATGTGTATTTCATGTTAGTATTTCAAAAAATCTCCTGGGGGAGAATCCCCGCAGACCCCCCTGCAGGGGTCGGGTTTTCAGCATGTCAACTCTTTCATCTGTGGGGAAATTGCAGGATTGGCTCCAGGTTGCACTTTTTATTTACTACAAGACAAATGTGCCGTTAGATTTCATACAGTTCCATTTGGATCGAGACAGGGAAATAATCCAAACCTCACGCGTGGCGTTTCACTGTCAAGGGGAGCGATATAGCGTGTATGTAATTACATTGCAAATACTGACTTGATCCCCACCACTGTATGGGTTAGCCCTACCATAGATTACCCGACAAAAATACTCTGGCGCCGCCACTGATGGAGAGAGATGTTCCCTTACAGGTTCCATTGTAAAGTTGGAAACCAATATATTGGATTTCACTGTGCACCTGCAGGATGTTTATCAGAACTATAATTGCAAAATTAGACTAATTTAAAGAGGATACATTATATAATATTTATTATATCATACTGGTTTTAATTTAAGTTAGATTCAATGTGACGGTACTTCCTCCATTTGAGAATGTGTATGTCCCTCTATGGCTGGGATTCCTTTCCTGTGGTAACCTGTTGATACTAGTATTGAAAATAATGTTGGATAATCAAATAAAAGTTGTCCTATTCATAATCTGTCAACTCATTGTTCAAACCCATATTTTCTCTACCTCTCATCTAATGACTTTTTTTTCCTTCTCCATTCCAGAAAACGTGTGTGGTGAGAGCTGGCACCTTGTTGGAAACTCCTGTGTGAAGATCATCACGGCGAACGACTCGTACGACAACGCCAAGCTGGCCTGCCGGAGCCACAACGCCGTGCTCGCCTCGCTCACCACGCAGAAGAAGGTGGACTTTGTGCTGAAGGAGCTGCAGATCATGAGCGTGGTGGTAAGTGGGAGGGGGGGACGGTCCTGGATATCACCTGAATTGATTAATCAGATTGGAAGCACTTGATTTACATAATGGCCTCGTCAAATACATGTATGTGAATAACAAGTACAGTAAGTGCTTCTGAGATATAGAGGGGATAGAAGTATAAAGCAGCTCTAAATGAAGAAAGTAAAGTACAAGTATCTCACAATTGTACAGTCAAAACTATTTACAGTGCAGAGCTCGAGTAAAAGTGACTTTCCACCACTAATAATTATACATCAGCTACATAAATAAGAATACACTGTTCAGATTGCCTCTTCCATGTTATAGTAGACAAAACAAAACTAACACCACATATTTGAAATAATTGTGTTTGTGGTAGCTGCCCTCTTTAAAATGCTGCTTGTTATCTCCAGGTGAGCTCTGCTTGATTATCTTTGTCTTAATTCCTTGGAGTAGTGAGAGTGAAACAAATCTACCACTAACAGATTATTTCCTCCGACATCTTTTACTCGCTCCATTCGAGCTAATACACAGAAATCTATCTAATCATCAGATGCACGTCACATACCACGGATGTGAGAATGACGAGGAGATGTACACTGTTAGCTTTCATCTTTACATCCAGTTTGTACACAGCCATAACACACATGGGATATGAAAACAAGTGGAGATATGCGAAGGTTGCATTTTACCCAGAGATGCAGCACGCAAAGTGATTAACTAAATGAATACTGAATGTGTTCATCTTTGAAGATATTTGCTTGGCCTTGTAGCTTTTCTCATGGTTGCTTGTAATGATGGTAATCAACCCATTTCAAAGTTGGTTCATATATGAATTATAATTTAATGTAAATGCATAACACCCAGTTGCACTGAGGTCAATGAGGATGGGACTAAGTCTGGCACTTAGCAAAGAAAAACAAATAAATTAAACATAGAATCTGCGTAACTTACCTTTTTTTTTATTTTGTAAACCAGAGTTTTGATTACATTTGATTCACCAGCAATACATATTTATGTGAAAAGATTAACAGAGAATGATTTGGAAACTATTTTGATTATTCATAAATACTTGTACTAATTACCATGAATACCAACAATTCTCCAATAAGAGGATTATCTGCTCTGTCTTTAAAATCATTGTAAACAAATTATTTTAAATAAGACGACATTTGATGACCTTACCGTCGGATCTAGAATTTTCCATTTCTTGTCCTATAATGGAAATCATACAATCCTTCATATTTACTGAATGAATGATTATGCTCTATGGAAAGAAGTCTCACATTTTCATGCTGGGTGGGGACCCATGTTATTTGACTAATCACAGCTAAATCTGTCTAAATATTAGGGTATGTGTCTCCACTTGAGTTCACTGTGGAATTACATCATCCTGAATGTTTCAAACAAAGCACTGTGAGCTCTAATTATCTGTTCTGCACTTCAATGAAACGCGGTGTCATGCACAGCTGCAGCGCTGCTTTAGTTTCAGACACAACCACTGCCATCCCTCACTGAAGCCACCCGTGCTAAAATGTTACCCACTTACGATCCTACAAAGTGCGCTGGAAACCCGCTGAGCATATGTAATGTGGACGCTAAACGAGACAAAGACATTGAGTTTAAATCACAAAGTGGAGCTGGGATTCATCCATACTAATGAAATTGTGCAGATTTCCCCTGTTGTCTAAATTCAATTGCCATGGTCAGTTCCAGGTAATCTTTGCGCTTAAAGGCAGAGGAGAAGAAGTAATTTCTCCAGAATAATATATGTGTTCACCCTGACCAGTCTAACAATGAAATGCTGCACAGCCACAGAGACACGTGCTTCACAAGTCCTCCTGTCATGTTATATAGACGCCGTTTGTGCTGTTTAGCACTTCCTACTATTTACAGACCGGATCAATCAATCCCAGAAATGCAATTAAATCCTAATGGAACAGTAATTCTCTCTTTGTTTACTACTGCTGCAACAACATGGCCATTGATTAGAGATGGGACGGATAACAGAGCCTCCCAGGTGGAGGAAGTAAAGCTGCTTCTAGTACCGCCAAGGGAAATGTATTCAGTGTAGGAGATTTATTGTTGCTCACAGCCTGCGCAAGTCGTGATTCCTGAAACAAAACAAAACCATTTTTTTCTTGACATGATTTTCATCAATGTCACATTAGTTTTTATTCACAGATTAACTTAACTTGTCTCTTTTTCAACCGTTTTTTTAATGAGCTTTTAACATTAGACGTTGACCAAACACTAAGAGAATGTTAAAAAGAAAATTTACAAAATGATATACTCTAAAAGACAACAATTTAACAATGATTTTTTTCAACATTAATTAAATTGATCCGTTTTTGGTCGATAAAATGTATAAAAATTGTGAAAAAAATCATTTTCCAAAAGCACATTTGTAACATTTATTTGGTCACCTTACCCACAGTTTTAATATGATATAAAAAAGATACAATCTGGAAAATCTACATATTTGAAATGCTGAAAACGGTTTATTTTTCATGCAAACATGGCAGAAAATGCTAAGTGATTATTCGTTCTCTAATCATTAAAGCTATAATGACGAGTAGTGTAAGTAAACAGTAGTCAAGCTTTGAGCGGTGATCAAATGTATGGAAAACAATGTTTTATTGTGTGTAATATCCTTGTTTTGACTTTGTGGTGCTGCTGTGTGTTTGCAGTACAAGGCCTCTTTGACGCCCTGGGTGGGGCTCAGGAAGATCAACGTGTCGTACTGGTGCTGGGAGGACATGTCTCCCTTCACCAACACCTCGCTGCAGTGGCTGCCCGGAGAGCCCAGCGACGCCGGATTCTGTGGATATCTGGCCGAGCCGGCTTCCAGCGGACTGAAGGCTCAGACCTGCATCAACCCGGTGAATGGCAGCCTGTGTGAACGACCAGGTGGGTGCTAAAATACTTAAAGGGGACCTATTATCCAAAATCCACTTTTTCATGTCTTTTCTACATCAACATGTGTCCCCTCTGTGTAAAGATATTCTGAAAGTTTCAGGAAAAAAGATTCTCTCACTTTTTCTCCTGATCCATTTATATAAAAACCTGTCTGAAGATGAGCTGATCAGATTTTGGCCACTTTATGATGTCATAACGATTTTTTGGCTTGTGTAACCATTAGCCAATCAGCAACCAAGGTAACCCCCCCTAATCTAAACCTCACGCGTGGCGTTTCACTGTCAAGGGGAGCGTGTATGTAATTACATTGCAAATACTGACTTGAGCCCCACCACTGTATGG